TAGGTGTGAACATAGCCTTAGGCTCTGTATTTGCCTGGTGATCTGGCCAGTAACACACACACCGTGTATTAGCATGTCCCTCCACTCTGAATGAAGGAGCAGAGGGGGCACAGCAGATAGCAGCATTTTCAGTCTTGGGGTAGGGGTGTGTTACACAGGCTAGCTGATTTAGATACACTAACAAATTGGTGCTGAACTCCAGTTAATACGCAGCAAATAAGCAATTACAGCAAACAGGTGTTTTTCCTGTTGAGGTAAAGGTTTTACATAAAAAAAGCTGATCATTGTAAGCAACCCCTGTCAGTGGAAAACAGTTTGTCTTATTTCTGTAACTGATACATTCTGCTGGAGAGCTTGTTCTGCTGAAAAATAACAGGAGGATTACTGGCTGTTTTACCAGATGATACTAGAAGAAAGAAAGAAAGCCTGAAAAAGAGAACAAATGCAGCCATCACATCTAAGAATTGGTATGATGCAATATATTTAATGTATGATTTTGGGTTTAATACTTAATTAACTTGTTGCTGTTAACAGCAGTTTGGAGTTCTTCGGCTGTAGGTCTGAACTATTCAAATACATCTCAGCTTGAGCACACACCTAGCAATAATTTTAACTTCAGTTTTCTCTGCCTAAGGTTAACCTATTTAAATTTTCAACTCCATTCTGCAGTTATTTTGCTGACAAATACATTATAAAAGCAGTCTCTGCTTTGCAATGAAATGATGGGAAGTACATTGTGTCTAGCAGCAAGCCTGGAAGGTTTCTAATCATCTGTTGGCTAAGGGAAAAAGAACATTGCTTGGCCGAGGATAACAAATGGTATAAAAACCATTTGCAGTCCTGAAATGTGTGAAGAAATGGTCATGCTAACATTATGGTCCAGTAATGAACTTAAAGTTATTTTTTAGAAACTGTCTGTAAGCACGCCAATCAAAAGAATTAAGATGCAAAAGAGAAAATCACTTGTGGACTAGTGTATAGGAGGACTTTCTGCAAAAGTCACATGAAAAATCTCTGAACTCACAGTGGAATGCAATAGGTTAACCCTTTGAGGACCAAGGGACGTATTTGTCCCATGTTTGTAATTGGTGTATCATCTGATTAAGAACTTAAAATACTTTTTTTTTTTTTGGTTTGAGTCAAAATATTAGTTCTTATCAACAAACAACAAATGGATCTAGCTTTTTGCCAATTATTTCATGAAATGGCTTAGTTACAGCAACTGAAGTGTACGAACTTTAAAAACAAAAAAATTTATTCTTTTGGCGTTCCAAAACCTTACGGTCCTCAAAGGGTTAAACAGCCTAACACATACCTTGAAAAACAAACTACCATTCCAAGGATAAATATATGCATATAGCATGTGTGGAATAATAAGTCATGTTTTATTTTTTCTGTGCGGTGCTACATTTGGTTTCAAAAATACTGTCCCTCTATACCGGGTGTCGGCAACCCGCGGCTCCGGAGCCGCATGCGGCTCTTTTTCACCTTTCCTGCGGTTCCGGAGCACACTGCCCACCAGGTGACAGGCAATAGGGTCGGCAAGCCGCGGCTCTTTTAATGCAGCTCTTCTGTGTGCCGGGCGCCCGCTGGCAAACATTGGCTGTCAGGATGTAGGCGGGGCAGCCCGAATGTAGGCAGGGCAGCGTGACGAACTCCTCTCCTCTCACAGTCCGCCCTGAAGACCAGAACGGCGCGGGAACCCAGCGAGAGGAACGCGCGGAGCAAAGGTAAGTGAATTCACACAATATGGGGAATGAATTACTATAGGGGGGATGAATTACTATATGGGGGATGAATTACTATGGGGGATGAATTACTATATGGGGGATGAATTACTATAGGGGGGATGAATTACTATAGGGGGGATGAATTACTATGGGGGATGAATTACTACGGGGGATGAATTACTATATGGGGGATGAATTACTATATGGGGGATGAATTACTATAGGGGGGATGAATTACTATAGGGGGGATGAATTACTATGGGGGATGAATTACTATATGGGGGATGAATTACTATGGGGGATGAATTACTATATGGGGGATGAATTACTATATGGGGGATGTATTTTCAGTTTTAAAAATGTTTCTCTCAAAATAAATTTCAATCGTGGTTTTGGCGAGATTTGGCTCAGTCGAAAAAAAAGGTTGCCCACCACTGACCTAAGGCTATGATTGTGATTATGACGATACACTGTGGCCCTGATTAACCCTTTGCTTACTGGGCCCTTAAACCCCCTTCATGACCAGAGCGTTTTTTGCAATATATGCAGTGTCGGATTTGTTTTAAATGTTGCAATGGTTTTGCGGCTCCCAGTCTTTTTTTCCCTCTCGGAAACGGGTCCAAGTGGCTCTTTATGTCTTAAAGGTTGCAGACCCCTGCTCTATACTGTTGGAATTCTGGGTAATCTGACAACTGGGCTGGCATTGTAACCTAGTGTGATTGCCACTAGAGTCATTTCTTATTGCAAACATAGACTAAAAGTATACATTTTTACTGTAAATTAACCACTTACCCTCCTGAGGATTTACCCCCCTTTCTGACCAGACTAAAAAACCATAAATTAAATTTGTCATTTTTGCTCACAAATCGAGCTTTTTTTGGTGGTGTTTGATCACCTCTGTGGTTTTTATTTTTTTGCGCTATAAACAAAAATAGACTGACAACTTTGAAAAAAAACAATATTTTTGACTTGTTTATAAAACATGAAAAATTTAAAAAAATAAAATTTCTTCATAAAAGTAGGCCAAAATGTATTCTGCTGCATGTCTTTGCTTAAACAAAATCCCAATAAGTGTATATTAATTGGTTTACATGAAAGTAACAGCGTCTACAAATGGTGGTATATATACTGGAATTTTCTTTGTCATCCTAGTAATGGCAGCGATCAGCGACTTATACTGCGGGACTGCAGTGGGCATTCTGACACTGGGTGGGAACTGACTAACTGCCACTGACATCTCCAGTGACAGTAACACAGTGATCAGTGCTAATAAAAAGCAGGAAGGGGTTAACATCTGGGGCAATCAAAGGGTTAACAGTGTGCTGTGTGCTGTTTTACTTGGGAGACATGCTGCTTTTGTATCTCTCTGCTGTGACTGACAGTCCCTGGCTCTCTGCTCACAGAATGTTGTGAACTGAGCGATCAGTGGTGCTGGATTACCTCTCTGCTGTGCAGAGATATAAAACGCAGCATGTCCATGCTGACAGGAGAGAGACCTGTCTTGTTTACAGACAGGTCTCCCCACTGTCAACCTTGCTGACGATCACAGAGTCCTGACCGGGAATCACCGATTGACATCCCCAGCAGACAATAGAGGGGCAGGTATAGTGGTGCGCATGCGGCTTCTACTCAGAAATACAAATCACGTATATATACGTGATTTTGCGTAGCCATGCCACCCTATAGCAGTACATCTGCTATAGGGTGGCAGGCAAACGGTTAAGGTTCACAGGTAAGTACAGGAAAAAGGCAGGCTGGCAGGGTACTTTGTGTGCAGCTTGGCAAACACCTTAGAAGCATGATCTAGTATTAGGCCTCATGCACACGGGGCATCTGTAAAAGTACCCCTGAATGGCACAACTCCTGAAAGGAAAAAGCTGCTTAAAAAAAATACGTACTGCACATGCCTTTAGGAGCGTTTAGTCACATCTTACATTTGACTGCTAATGCATTCTATTGGCTAGCATATTAAAAGAGAAGTATGGCTTAAAAAAAAAATCATACTAACCTAGATGGCTGCAGTACTAATCCCAGATTCAGCTGCCCCCTGCCAGACCGAGAACTGAGTAATCCAACACCACTGATTGCTCAGTTCACAACATTCTGTGAGCAGAGAGCCAGGGACTGTTAGTCACCGACTCCCTGTTCTGCCCCTCCAGCTCTCACTAGAGCACTGGGCTGTAGAGGGGATGGGAGCAGCTGGCTCAGGCTCTCAGTGGATCGCTGAGAGGCTGAACTATGTGCCTGCCCAAGCATCTGGCTGGATCCTGACTGTAAAGCCAGGACTGGCTGAGAGACTTCAGCTGACAGCGGGCTTTAGTGAACTGCACTCCTGTGATGCATAAGAGAACCATAGCCAAAATAGCTTTGGCTATATTTCTCCTTTAATGTATTCTGGCCATAAAAATACAAGTTCAGCGTTTATGCACATTATGTGTTTCTTCTGTCCTTCAGCTCCTCTCCTAAACATGCCTTGTTTTTTGTTTTTTTTTCTTCCTGTAAATGCTCCTCTTCTAATATGCCTGTAAATGCCTATGTGCATATGGACACATAGGCTTACATAAAGGTGCTTTTACTGGCTGAAAAAAAACACTCATCGCCTGTAAAAGTGGCCTTTTGTAAGCTCTGAGTTTGCAGAATGCCCCGGGAGTTTTTTTTTTTCTCAAAGTGAAACATGTTAATACGTGTTAGATTTGCTGGCAAACAACAGAAAACACAACCTAAATCTGGCAGTGTAAGTCCATTTTCAACAGTTCCCACAGTGAAACAGTGAAGCGCGGCACTGTTAAAAATGTACTTGCATATCATTAACACGTTATCTATGAAGGTGTGAATAGTGTGAGCGGTTCCTTAATTTTTGTCATGTAATAGCAGCTCACAAGGGTTTTTGATTCATTTCTAAATCTGGCAGTGACCTCTGTTAGTATTTTGACAGAAACATTGGCACTTTCATTACCAGCATTAGGGTCAGTGAAAATCAGTTTTATTGAGAGAAATGGCATTGAAGGTTTGGTCATGCTTGTTTGTTCCACTAGCCTACAGGGCACTTATACCCCCTTCCTGCCCAGGCCAATTTCCAGCTTTCAGCGCTGTTACACTTTGAATGACAATTGCACGGTCATGCAACACTGTACCCATATGAAATTTTTATCATTTTGTTGTGACAGCTAGAGCTTTCTTTTGGTGGTATTTAATCACCTCTGGTTGTTTAGTTTTTCTTAAACAAACCACTGAAAATTTTGAAAAAAAATGTTTTTTTCTTAGTTTTTGTTATAACATTTTGTAAATAAGTGATGTTTCTCCTTCACTGATGTGCGCTAACGAGGCTGCAGTGATGGGCACTGATATGCTGCACTGATGGACACTGATAGGTGGCCCTGATGGGCACTGATGAGGCGGCACTGGTAGGTGGAACTGATGGGCATTGCCAGGCATCCCTGATGGGCACTAAAAGGCAGCAGTCATATATGGCACTGATAGGTGGCACTGATAGGTGGCACTGATAGGTGGCATTGATAGGCGGCACTGACTGGTACTGATAGGCGCCACTGACTGGCACTGTTAGGTGGCACTGACTGGCACTGGTAGGCGGCACTGATAGGCAGCACTGAACACTGATAAGCGGCACTGACTGGCACTGATATGTGGCACTGACTGGCACTGATAGGTGGCACTGACTGGCAATGATAGATGGCACTGACTGGCACTGATGGGTGACACTGAAAGGCAGATCAGATGGGCACTGATATATGGCATTGATGTGGCACTGATGGGCACTGAAATGTGGCACTGATGGGCACTGGCAGGTGGCATAGATGAGCACTGAGAGCTGGCACTGATGGACACTGACAGGTGGCGCTCCTGGGGCTACACAGATCATCAGGGCACACTGATCATCAGTGCTCTGATGATCTGTGTAGATGTCCCCTCCGAGGAATGCCGATTACCAGTATTTCCATTTACATGTGATCAGCTGTGATTGGACACAGCTGATCACATGACCGAGCCAACATCTCCAACTCTTTCCATTGATCGGTGATCCCCTATGTCCGAGGGACACAGCGCAGCGCTGATCACCACGCTGCGCACTCCGGGTGTCGCGCATGCGCGGTTAAAATGGGAGGAAGTCATATGATGTCCTCCCAGAACGAGAGAACCACCTTGCACCCGTCATATTACTATATGGCGGGTGAGAGGCGGTTAAAGCAGTGGTCTCCAGACTGTAGCCCATGGGCTGGATGTGGCCCTTTGCTTGCCTTTATCTGGCCCTTGGGGATTCTGTTGACAGATATGAAGAGCTATTCCTCCCACTCATATAAATGCTGAAACTTTATTTCCTTTACTGATAATAAAGGTGGGGCAATATTCATTCCACTGATACCAATGATGAGCTCTACTCTTCCCACTGATATTGGCGAAGAGGCACTACTTCTTCCATTGACACCAACAACAGGGCCCAATTCCTTCCACTAATGTAAATAATGGAAAATGATTTCTTTCACTGACCTTAATGATGGGGCATTATTCCTTTCACTGATACCACTTGTTTATCACTATTTATCTTACTGACACCAATGATGAGGCATTATTCCTTCCAAAGACACCAACAATAGTGTATTATTCCTATCACTAATACCTGTTATGAGGCACAATTCCTCCTTCTACTGACCACTGGTGTTATGTAATTCTTTTACTCCTAGTCACCACAATCCAGTCCCCTAAAGTCTGAAAGACAGAAAACTAGCCCTTTGTTTAAAAAGTTTGGAGACCCTTGGTTTAAAGTAATATTAAAGCTTTGTGGGTTTTTTTTTTAAATAACAAAGCCTTTATACTTACCCACTCTGCATAATAGTTTTGTACAGGACAGCCCATCTTCTCGGGTCCCCCACCAGTGCTCCTGGCTCCTCCCCCCTAGCCATTTGCTATAGAGGCACTGGTGTGTGCTCTCTCCCAAGCCCTGCTCTGTGTGTCCCTTGTCACTGGCTCTAATTGACATTGGCTCTCACTGCTGTATCTGAGCAAATGAAGAGCAAGAGAGTCAATAGAGACTTGGCTCTCATGCACATCACTGTATCAAGTTCAGGCTCAGGTATGTATGAGGAGGCTTAGTGGGGAGCTGCGTGCAAAAGGTTTTTTTAATATAAATCTTTATCAATATTTTGGGGTACATGACTGCTATTCAGAGCAACACATTTTTAATAAAAAGGCCATGCATGTTAAGAAGTCTCACTGAAATTAATATTGGGCACTAGGGAATGCACTTGGTTTGGTTTGAGGTGGGTTAAGAGAATGTTACTGAAGTTAACTTCTTTGTGCCAGGACTACGCCACTATGCGGGTGGGCTTTGATGCCAAGAGGCCACATATTTGCATACCAAAATGTAAACAAACCTGTGCTGATGTGCTCTCAGTAGCACAGTTACTGGCACCTAACAGAAAGCTCACAATTGCATTCAGCTCACATTGACTAAAGTCAATGTGAACTTAAAGTTAAAAACAATAATGGGCATGTTTTGGGCTAATAGACAAGGGATAGTCAAACAATTGGTATGGGGGGCTGGGAACTGCCCTAGGGAACATACAGTATAAGCAAAAATAGGTTTCAAAAATTGGTGAGGTGCAGCAATTTTAAAATTACTTAAAGGGCAATATTAAAAATACAAAATTCCTGTAAATAACATGCCCTGGGAGTGTCCTGACATTGCTTGTGAAGTGGTGCATCTGTATGATGTATACAACCTACAGGTGCATATCAATAAATTAGAATATCATCAAGAAGTTAATTTATTTCAGTAATTCAATTCAAAAATTGAAAATCATATATTATATAGATTCATTACAAGCATTTCTTTCTTTTAATTTTGATGATTATGGCTTACAGCTTGTGAAAACCCAACATTCAGTGTCTCCTAAAATCAGAATATTGTGAAAAAGTTCAATATTGTAGACTCATTGTCTCACACTCTAATCAGTTAACTAACTCAAAACACCTGCAAAGGTTTCCTGAGCCTTTACATGGTCTCTGAGTCTGGTTCAGTAGGTTACACAATCATGGGGAAGACTGCTGACTTGACAGTTGTCCAGAAGACAGTCATTGACACCCTCCACAAGGAGGGTAAGTCACAATAGGTCATTGCTAAAGAAACTGGCTGTTCACAGATGCACAAGAAACAAAGATAAGCCTTGAGAGGATTCTGAAGCAAAGATCATTCAAGAATTTGGGAAAAATTCACAAGGAGTGGACTACGGCTGGTGTCAGTTTTCCAAGAGCCACCACACACAGAAGTATCCAGGACATGGGCTACAACTGTCGCATTCCTTGTGACAAGCCATTCCTGAACCAAAGTGTCAGAAGTGTCTTATCTTGAAAAAGGACTGGACTGTTGCTCAGTGGTCCAATATGCTCTTTTAGGATGAAAGTAAATTTTGCATTTCATTTGGAAATCAAGGTCCTAGAGGCTGGATGAAGAGTGGAGAGGCATAGAATCCATGTTGCATAAGGTCCAGTGTGAAGTTTCCACAGTCAGTGATGATTTGGAGAGCCATGTATCTGCTGGTGTTGGTCCACTGTGTTTTATCAAGTCCAAAGTCAGCACAGTCCTCTATCAGGAAATTCTAGAGCACTTCATGCTTCCCTCTGCTGACCAGCTTTATGGAGATGCTGATTTCATTTTCCAGCAGTACTTGGCACCTGCCCATACTGCCAAAAGTACAGATACCTGGTTTAATGATCATGGTATCACTGCTTGATTAGTCAGTAAACTCGTCTGAACTAAACACCATAGAGAATCTGTGGGGTATTGTCAAGAGGAAGATGAGAGACACCAGACCCAACAATGTAGACAAGCTGAAGGTTGCTATCAAAGCAACCTGGGCTTCCATAACTCCTCAGCAGTGCCACAAACAGGTCGCCTCCATGCCACACCGCATTGATGCAGTAATTCATGCATAAGGAGCCCCGAACAAGTATTGAGTGCATATTATACTGTACATGAACATACTTTTCAGTAAGCCAACATTTTTGTATTAAAAATATTTTTTTTTATTGGTCTTATGCAATTTTTTAATTTTCTGAGTTACTGAATTTTGGGTTTTCATTAGCTGTAAGCCATAATCATCAAAATTAAAAGAAAAAAATGCGTGAAATATATCACTCTGTGTGTAATGAATAATATAATATATAATCTAAAAATAATTTAATATTATGAGTTTCACTTTTTGCATTCAAATACTGAAATAAATTAACTTTTTGTTGATATTCTAATTTATTGAGATGCACTTGTACTACCCCAAACAGATGTCTACAAAAAAATAAAAATGTCAATTAAATCACGAGTAAATGACATACACAATGTAATTCTAAAATGTGTTGTAGACACTCTTGAATTCTATGAATTCCCCAGCATGTGTTTTTATTTGGCATTTATTATTGATAGAGCTTAAATTATTAGACAATTAGCTGTTTAATCTATATATACATTTCAGGGAATGTATCACTTGTAATTCTAATACTGAAGTATCATTTTCTTTATTAGAAGAACCCACATAACATCAGTACACCCCCCGTGAAACTGTGTGCACCCACAATTGTTTGTAGTGTAACGGAGACATTTTGGAACAATAAATTTGCTGATGTCTGCTGTGATCATTATTCATTTTCTGCAGAGTGAGAAGATAAATCTTCTAGCAACATCAGGTGAATTAAGTCAGTAGTTATCTTGTTATCTCTGTCATCTGAGTTCATTCCATAGTTTCTATCAGTTTCCCTTACCTTAGGTAACTTTTGTGATTCTTGTGATCTTCTTAGGATTGGAAAATAGTTAAACACATGCTTCAAATTCCTCTGCCATACTATTAAGGCTGCTTTCATACCGTTCCCTTGTAAAAATGTGGTAAAAACGCATATGCATTTTGCTGTATTTTTAAAGAATTCTGATGCAAAAATCATTTTTTATGTGGTTTCCATTCATTTCAATGAGGAGGTGCATTTTCTTTACCAAACGAAACATGCACCAAAAATGCAGCAAGCCAAATTTTATAAAATTCAGTGGGCCCACAACTGATCAGTGTGGGGAGACACATTGGATTTCACGGTCATGCATTTGTAAGCAGCCTAAAGCTGAAATCGGGGCTCAAAACTTTAAACCAGATATATTCTTCAATACATATAAATCAATCTTGTATGCACCAAGTGCCTTTAAAAACCCATTTTCCTTAGAAGAGATCAATAAATCCATTTGGTTAGGCTATGTTCTCTTCTATTTGTGATCCCTTATAAATCTATTTGGCACTGTCTGTTCCATAATGTCAAACACGTATACATAAATACTGAAACAGTTAACTTTTCTTCCATGCTACTTTTTTGCCTGTTAATTATAATAAAAATTGTATCTGTTAAATAAGCGCAAGAAAAAAATACCACCTGATCCTACTAGAAACATTGTTCTTTCTTATGTTTCATGCACTTTGCAGTTTTATCACAAGCATGGTGCTAGTCTTGACTAATTCAGCTCTAGGAACAAAAAAACATATATTGTTATGTTGAACAGAAGAGGAGGTGGTGTATTGTATTCATAACACACCTCCTGTAGGGTAACAATGTTGCTTTTCTAATTACAGTACAGTAATTGAGCTTTCTCACCCTAGTACAAGAACTGTTACTGGTAGGATCACTATATAAAAAGAAATATTGAAAAAAACATGAAAAAATAAAAAAAAATGCAGCCTCCATATCTAAGGATGTATAATTTACAACACTATTTTACATTTTTGTTTATGTGTTTAGATACAGGTTTAGACTATCAGCAAGCAACATAGAAGCGTGACCCTCAATGATGTTAGGTGTATGTTCCTATAGAATTACTATAAAAACATTTCCATTGATAAATTGCTTTATAGTGCACTCAAATCCCATTGTACCATTAATTGGAAAATAGTATCCATTTTACTAGCTATTTGTGTTCTACAACTTCACATAAATATGATCACATAACATTCAATGCAAA